CATAATATATACCATGGATTATAATATAATAAACAGAGAGATTAACTCTTTGTCATGGACATTATTTCTAAGAATAAGCTTGATAAGTCGTCTGTAGCAGGGTGGGGCTGACGTCATGACGAGCACCCCGGGGGCTCTGTAGTCCGTTTATAGCCTAATGTTAGCTTTTCAAGTCTTGCGTTTGCATTTAAGATCCAAAAGTGCTCAAAGTTGTATTTTCGTGTGAGGATTATCCGACTGGACAAAACGTGTAAGTGTAATGAACGGAGTTTGAACACCGAGCTTATTATTTGCAATCTTCGAAAACCCAATGGGAAAATCCTATAGGAATTTTCATGAGGGAACCAGTTTTATGCTAGCAGCCGATTAGCCTACAAAGTGACGTCATAGTTCCTCCACTCTATACGCAGTGTATGGGCGAATGCTGATGCTTCTTTGCCATCTTGTTCAGACACTAAAGAACTTGCTGAAACTTTTAACTCTGCTTGTCATTTTGCTTTAAATGAAGTTGCTCTTAAATTTAAGAGGTCCAGGGTTAATTAAATTCCACAGCCCTGGTTAAATTCATCAACCCGTACTCTCAGGCATAAATGCAGAAGGGCTGAGCACAGGTGGAAAAAGGATGGGCTTCAGGTTTCCAACCAGATTTTAAAAGACTGCCTAAATGAATATCAGGACTTGGTCAGTAAGGCTAAATCTAAATTATCTTCAAATTTGATTGTTAAAAGTGATTGCTTTAAAACCACAAATTTAGTTCTTAACCCTGCTCTTTGCTCTGCTCCTGTTGTCAATCTGGAGACGTGTGTAACCCCCACCAATCCTACATCACCCAACCCGCTCCGAGCTGGTATCGAACTGGCAGCCTTCCTCATGAGAGTCGGTCACTCTACCGAGAAGGCTAAAGACCATGGCCTCTAGTTTCTGTCGCTTAGAGGTCAGAGGAGTGAGGTGTACCTGCACAGCACACACTAGCTGACCTTTCCCTTAACCACACTCCTATCCGGGTCACGACACCAATGTAACCCTGCTGGTCCTACGCCACCCAACCCACTCCGAGCTGGTATTGAACCGGCGACCTTCCACGTGGGAGTCGGTTGCTCTAAAGCCTGGTTTATACTTCTGCGTCAAGTGACCGGCGTAACCCACGGCTGTGCATTTATTCTTCTGCGCGCTGTCTCTTTTGGTCTGCATTAACACTTCCGAAACGCTAGTTGGCAGTGAGGTGTAAATGTTCCACTGTGTCGAGTTTCTTCTCTGCTTTTTTGCTTTTCCTGAACACTTCCTGGATTCACAAGTGGCTCAAACTCGCTCATTTTGAGGCAGGAACCGGCGGACGTGCAACAACTTTAACCATGAGGTAAACACAAAACAAAACTTTCCATCCGGAGCTCCTTCACAGTACTCCACACTTGTAAACAATCACTACATTGGGCTTGCGCCATTCGCGCGGCTCTCGGTCCCGCCCAGACTCGTCAGCGCTACCAAGCCGACCAATCACAGCGCTTGCGCTACGCGTCGTTGCGACGTGTAGTTACATTTTTTTGAGAGGTGCACGTCAGCGACGCCGACGGCCACGGCAAAGGGCTATGCGTCAGCGCCGTAGCATACGCTGGCGTTTGACGCAGAAGTATAAATCAGCCTTAACAAGGAGGCTAAAGACCATGGCCTCTAGCGTCTAACCCATATCAAACACACCTGCCTGTAATTATCACCCGGTGTTCAGGTCCTAATTAATTGGTTCAGGTGTGTTTGATATGGGTAGCAACTGAAATCTGCAGGAAGGTGGCTCTCCAGGAACAGGGTTGGCCACCCCTGCGCTACACTGTCAGGCTTTAACATGGTCACATTCTGTTGAGATTTTTTTCTGAACTCATTTAGTGGCATGTTTCGATCGAGGAGAATCCAAAGAGAGAGAAAAAAAAAATTGACGCAAATTTAGCAGATAACGCCAAAAACAAGCAGAAAGCAATGAGAGACGTATATTTCCCTGGCCTGCCGTGTGTTGCGCACAGCTTGCTGTGCATGTATGGCAAGCCATTTTTACATTTAATCTATAACCCGTACTAGTATCTATTTTTATGTTACTTGTGCTTATTTTTTAGATACAGGTATCGTTTCCATTAATTACAAGTACTTATTTATTAGATTTATAAATATACTAGACAGGGCTTAACAATAAGGACTGCCCAGGGCTGGCGTGAGAGACGCTTGGGACAGTAGACAGGATCATTACTGGCCCGATTGGGACAGTGCTGCCTTGACACTAACATTTAATTTGTCTGCGACTATTTGTCAGTTGTGTGCATTTTAAGTTTGTGCTTTTAAGTCTTAAGTGTGTATGAGTGAACAGGCCCTTTTTGAAAATACCGGTAAATTCGTTCGGGTTATTTTCTGGAAAGAGAAGTTGTAACATTACCGGTAATTTGCCGGAATGCTGCGCTGTGTGAAAGCATAAGGAAGATTGCCGGAAAGAGCGCGTGCACGTCTAGAACGTGCTGACGTGAGACGTCTGCTTTAGCCAATCAGAACAGTCAGACGCGTTTACGCCCGCGCGGTTTATGAGAATAAAAGCCTTTGAATATTTTCCCAGACGCATTTAGCTGCTAGATGTTAGTCAGATCACGTTTATATGTTCATCTTAATGCCAACTGTGTAAATCATAAGATGCTTCCAGCACTGGAACATATTATGAACATCTCGAAATGCGAAAGTGATCCTCCATATGTTTTCATTGAAGTTGTTCTCAATATTGATCATCCACAGAGTTTGTAATGTACTCAAATGTTTACAAATACAAGCGCAGCCGTTTAAGGCTCATTTGTGGTGAATGATGTCAGAATTTACCGGTATTTTGGAATGGATGTGTGAATGCTCTTTTCCGGAAAATTTCCGTAACGTCCTCGCCTGTGTGAACAGCGCTTTTTTGAATATACCGGTAAAGTCGTTCCGGAAATTTTCCAGATATTTACTGGTATCACTGTGTGAAAGGCGCTATTGTCAGGGGTCTAGGAAACAGTGTTAAGCGCACAGCACTTTTTTTTGTTTGGTAAAACTATGGTTTAGACTTTAGCTTTTTCAAGAAACCCATTCAGTCAAGGAGGATGCTAAATTGTGGAGATCTCAATGGGGACTGATATGCGGATGTCTCATGGGACAGAACGGTCAGCAGTTGTCGTTATTTTTAAAAGCAAGTTTTGTGGGAAGATTTTGCATTTTGTTAGTGATGATAAGAGTCACTTTCTATTGCTTGTTGCATCACTTTGGCAAAATATTTCAATTGTAGTAAATATATACGGGTACAACACTTCTAAGAAGAATATAAATTTTATTGAACCAGATCAGTGATAAAATTCAATATTGGGTGGACAAATTTCCTAAATCTTTCATTATTTTGGGCGGAGACTTCAATATGGTAATAAACGGTGAATTATATAGGTTTTCCTCCAGAGCCGCCTCTACAAATTCAATTCTAAATATTTTTCTGTTGAGATTTTCTGTTGTCGAGATCTGGAGAGAAAAAAAATCCACAACAGAAACTCTACACATGGTGCAGCAAGGATGATTCTAAACAAATCTCGAATAGACTTTTGGTTAGTTTCTCAGAGCGCCGCTAGTAACTGTAAATCAATTGATATTAGGGCTGGGCGATTTAGCAAAAAAAAAAAAAAGAATCTAGGTTTTTTTATAAAGTTTGACCGATTCACGATTTCAATTTTTTTTTATGTGTTACTAGTCTTCTCAAAACATTACAACAACATGACTGAGGCTGGGCGGCTCCGGTGTGTGTTTAGAAACCTGTTTAGAATTCTAAAATCCATGGCGCTGCGTGGTGCTGCGCGGTGGAGAGGCGCTTCTGGTGTGCTTTCTGCTTCATACAGAGAGTGAACCAAAGCGCATTGGTGCCATTATAATGTATTAATTATATATATTTTTTTAAAATCACGATTTTTCGATTTGATTCAAAATTAAATCGTCTTAAAACGTAAATTCGAATTAATCGAAATAAAATCGGAAAAATCGCCCAGCCCTAATTGATATCCACGCTTCTCCGCTTACAGATTACCGTGATGTTTCTCTTGGAGTTTGTCTCTCTGCAAAATTAAACAATTCTTTGCTCCAGTCTGAGGATGTTAAAAAGGATATTGTAATATTGATTGAAAAACACTGGAGCAGAGCTTGTGAAAACCAAATCTGGCAACACAACCAGCATATTCAATCACCAGAATAAGTATCACCTCCCCCCCTTCCCCCCCCAAAAAAACCTTGAAAGTTTCACAATTATTTTAGACTTGCTGGAAGTTGTTGTGTATATTTTAGTTTATGTTTTGCACATTTAATTCACCTCTTAATGCCAGACCTTAAACAGATTAGTCTTTTTAAATGTATTTTTCTATTTGTTTTAATTTAAGGTCAAATGCGTCATCTGTTTCTGTTAATAAACAATATATTAAATTGTAATTTAATCAACCGTCTAATTTTTGTTGCATCAGTCATTGTTGGGATAATAACTTTTACCGATTGAATCATAAACAACTTAATCGATTCTTCATGCGTGTATGATGGTGTGTTGATCGGCTGAAACTCTTCCCACCCTGAGGACATGTGAATGGTCTCTCTGCAGTGTAGGCAATGGCTGGTATTAAATCATAGTTTGACGTTATTGTGCTTACTGCTCTAATAAACACTCTTTATAAATTTCCGGGTAAAAAACTACAACCTTTCCCCTTTTGAACACAAAATATTTTAATTTGAGAAACATTTAAAATATTGTGGAGCAGTAAACATGTCAGGCTGAATAATTCAAATGAATCATTGACTTCTGCTGTCTTCATTAGATTTAGAAACACAGATTTACTTAAAATTTAAAAAGACAATATAGATATCTTTTCTGCTGGAGATACTGTTGTACTTAAAAAAATGTGAAAAATTTTGGCGGTTTTAAAAACCTTGACTTTTCCTAACTGTGGTATACCTTGAAAACAGTTATTGTCCCATGCCTGCTCCAGTGTGGTTCCTCATGTGTTGATTAAGGGATGATGATCGGCTGAATTTCTTCCCACACTGAGTGCATGTGAATGGTTTCTCTCCAGTGTGAATCTTCATGTGCTGATTAAGGTTGGATGATCGGCTGAAACTCTTCCCACACTGAGTACATGTGAATGGTTTCTCTCCAGCGTGGATCCTCAGGTGTAGATTAAGGAGTGAAGATTGACAAAAGCTCTTCCCACACTGAGTGCATATGAATGGTTGCTCTGTGGTGTGGATAATCATGTGTTGATTAAGCTGTGATGACTGGCAGAAACTCTTCCCACACTGAGCGCAAATGAACGGTCTTTCTCCAGTGTGGATCCTCATGTGCTTATTAAGGTTCGATGATTGGCTAAATCCCTTCCCACACTGAGAACATGTGAACGGTTTCTCTCCGGTGTGGATCCTCATGTGTTGAGTGAATTGTGATGACTGGCAGAAACTCTTCCCACACTGAGTGCATATGAACGGTTTCTCTCCAGTGTGGATTCTCATGTGTTTACTAAGGTATGATGAGAAGATAAAGCCCTTCCCACACTGAGAACATGTGAATGGTTTCTCTCCAGTGTGGATCTTCATGTGTTTATTAAGGAGTGATGATTGGCTGAAGCTCTTCCCACACCGAGTGCAGGTGAATTGTTTCTCTCCAGTGTGGATATTCATGTGTAGTTTAAGGTGTAATGGTTGGCTGAAGCTCTTCCCACACTGAGAACATGTGAATGGTTTCTCTCCAGTGTGGATCATCATGTGTTGATTAAGGTTTGAAATTTGTCTGAAATTCTTCCCACACTGAGTGCAGGTGAATGGTTTCTCTCCAGTGTGGATCCTCATGTGAATCTTAAGATCGCCTTTTCCTCTACAACTCTTCCCACACTCAGTGCATGTGAATGGTTTCTCTCCAGTGTGGATCTTCATGTGTCTATTAAGGATTGATGATTGTCTGAAGCTCTTCCCACACTGAGTGCAGATGAAATGACTCTCGTCTCTTGTTTTCAAAATACCGCAAGTCTGTAAATGATTTTTTTCCTCAATTTTGACATGATGTTCCTCTTCTTTACTCACACAATTTTCTTCAATTAGGTCTGAAATAAAAAAAAAAGTTTATTAAATCTTTAAAACTCTCATCAAAAGCCAAAAGGCACCAAAACATTGGCTACACAAACTGTAATTTTGATCTTAACCAGTTAAGCTCTGGGGCTATTTGGGGTAATTCCATTGAATTTGGCCTTCCGAATTAAAAAGCTTCCCATACCCACATGCAGTGATGTAAATACAAAAGTTTGGTATCATTTGAAAGGAAACCCTTTGAAATTTCATAAAATACAGTTGAAATTGAAAACAATTGTTGTATATATTGTCTGTGTTATAATAAACTCACAAAAAAGGCGTTTTTTTTTTTTTTTTTTTGGAAATGTGCAACTTAGTATTGGAGAATTGCAGCACCCTGGAAACAATTTTATTTCTTTCCAGCAGGTGTGAGCAAACACAGGAAAAAGGGAAATTTTCTTTATAATAATTTATGTGAGAATAATTCCATTCCAACTGCAAGAAGGAAAAATGCCATTTTTTTTATTTCCACCTACCTATATTTGAAGTCTTCCCATACCCCAATACAGTACAATAAATGCAATATTTCAATGTAATTTTACAGAAAACCCTTTGAAATTACAAAAGGAACTGCTGAAAGTGATAAATATTATTATAGATGTTGTCTGTCCTATGATGAAACACCTCAACACAAACCGCTTTTAGTTTGTTTTGTTCTAAAGCCGGATTTAGAAAGGTGTATAACTCAGGCCCTGTATGCTCCATCAAACTGCAGACTGTTTTGATTGTTACCAGCATTTGTCAGGAGACACTAGAAAAAAGACATTTGTTTTTATCATGTAGTATGCAATAATTATGTTAGTTCAACTGAAGGGTGGGAAATCACAACTTTTTTGCGTCTGATCTGTGACTTTTATGCACTGTTTTAGACACCCCTCTTCCTGTTTGTCATGCAATATCTCAGTCACTGATTGGCTGATTAAGGCTCACGATACATCAGCATAAAGCGGAGAATCTCTCCTTTCCAGTGATATGTAATTCATCTGGGTTGAAGCTTCATAGGTCGAAGCTATCATATTTTCCCGAATTTTGGAATATCATGACCCTAATTTGTTGCATTATGCATTTACAAGACACAGCAGGGGTTTACTGATGCACACTTCCTCAGAAAACGCTGAAAATGTACTCATTTTGCAGAGGACAACCTAAGGTAAAAGATGATGTAGCTTGTTTGGCTATCTGTGCTAGCTCCGGCAGCTCATGGAGCAAATGATCAATAATTTCCCTTGTATGTTTACAAAAAAACGAGTTTATACTTTATGATTCATTCAAAGATATGTGACTGTAAATCAATAAAAATAACGATGGATCCTTATTATTGGGAATGAGAGCTTTAATTCGATGTATTACTTGCCATTGTGTGTCTAATATTAGCGATGTGAAAAATATGCATACTGAACAAAGAACATAATCGGGGGGGTTGAGATATTATACATCGAGTGTAAATTAAGTGTAAATAACTTTGTTACAGTACAACAAATATTAAAGTGATGTGCATCAGTTGAAAATAGACATTTTAAGCTTCACCCAGTAGGTCATATGGTGTTATTGATGCAGACAGACCTCTTAAAGAGCCCATATTATGGGTTTTTGAAAATTCCCCTCCATGTAGTGTGTAACACAGCTCTAAGTGAAGTGAAGTGAAATATCCAGCTAAGGCTTAAATCTGTAAGAATACAGTGTTTAAAACGGTTGATTCATCTATAAAAGAGTCGACTCATAGTGCTTCAAACGAGTCGCCTTGATACCGATTCATTAGGCATGACGTACGAACGAAACTAAGTTATTCACGTGCACGCGCAAACCCGGGAGATTTCAAACCTGAGGCCCCGCCCTCTGACGCAGAAACCCAGACACACACACACACACACCCACAAACACACGCACACAAACACGCCGGTCGATTGAAGTCACACTGCAGATGGATATATTGAGTCTCTACCCAAAGATGAAACATCAGCATTATAACCAAGCAGTTGGAAACTACTGGAAACTTCTGGAAACTACATGCTACAAAGAATACTTCATCAGCGTTTGTTAAAGGAAGGATCAGTAAAGAGTAACTTACTGATGGACGTCAGGATGGGTTTCCATTTCTCAAGTGTAAGTACGTGCGATTAAAGTTGCCTCGTTGAATCTAGCTTGCAAATGTATTTGTATTTGTAACTTGTAACCGCGTGTACTGTATCAGGTTAACTGGCTATATTCTCTTATCGCGTGCAAAGTCACGTTAAAAACGCGACGCGTGCTGCTTTGTTTATGGAGCTCCGTGGTAGAGGTCTGCCACGCGGCTGTCCCCGCGCCAGATTTCTGCGGCGCGGGAATAAATTTCCGAATAAATCGCGGGAGCGGTCGGTAACGGGTTTAATTTGGGACGGGAGCGGGCTGTCTAGCAATATCACGGATATTGTTATGCGAATGAGAAAGAGAGAGTCTGCTTGGTGCTTGTGTGTGTGTGTGTTAGTGCGCACGCGCTCGTATGAGAGAGAGAGAGAGAGAGAGAGAGAGAGAGAGAGAGAGAGAGAGAGCGAGAGCTTTGTGTGCTTGGTGCTGTGTGTGTGTGTTTACACAGACATCTTGGCTGTCTGGACTGTATAGCTGGGTGACTTTTGGTTGTGTTCTCCCCCACTCTAGCGGGATCGGGCGCGGCGGGCAGAAAACGGAGCGGGTTCTCAGGCTAAAACCTGGCGGGTGCGGGCGGAAGCGTTGTCGTCCGGAGGTGTGTGTGTGTTTTTGTGTGTGTGTGGCAGCTAAACTCCACGCCTACACTATGGAGCGTGTATGAACTGTGATTACTTTTATATTGCTGATTAGCTATTGGCCATTTCACTCTCTGACTGAAGGCAGTCGACCAATAGCAACAGGCTGTCATTGGTCCAATCAGCGCAGATTAGCTTCACGCTAAGGAGGGGTTTGGGAACAAATGAATCACTGGACGATTCATACAGGAGTCGCTGGGATAATTAGGTAAAAATAAATGCAGATTATAAGACCATGAAAGTGTTTTTTGACCTTGCATGCATATTAGACTGTTGTTGGAGACCCTTACAACCAAGATATGACCCTATTTCATGTATAATATGGGCTCTTTAAACCTATAGTTATTCCTCCGATGACGTAATTTTGTCCCCGGTACCGGGCACGCAGAGTTTAAGTGGTTAATTCTGTAATTTTAATTCTGTAGATCATCAGTTACAGTGCAAAAAAAAAAAAGCTTAGTTTCTACATTGTATATGGAGTATAGTGTGTGTGTGTGTGTGTGTGTGTGTGTGTGTGTGTGTGTGTGTGTGTGTGTGTGTGTGTGTGTGTGAATCTACCTAATATCAAACCCAGAGAGCTGTAAGGAAATTCCATGAGCCAAGACCACGTGTATGTTCAGACACTAAAACAATAAACTTTTGAATCTAAAAAGAAGATCAGCGAGGAAAGCAGTTGTTCAACTGTCTCGATCGTGCATCCTGAGCCCCCCTCTCAGCCCTGGACTTTACCATCTCCACCAGAGCAGCTCACACACATTCCACACAGAATGTCCATGTTTAATATGGTGTACCTTGTGGCTCTATACTCACGTTTGTTGTCATTTTAAATGTCCCTGTGTGATTGGTAAAGTGGTCCTAATTTCACTATAATATTTCACAATTTGTATATGTTGATCTGGGTTTCGGCTTTGATAAGATCTTTGCCAAATGCTCCACTCCAGGGTAAATGTTCTTCACATCAACTCCTGACCAGGCAAGGTGCTTGATGAAGATTTTATTGTCTTGAATTTATGATGGTTTGTTGTGATTTGAGTATCTGTGGGATTCTGTAGTCAGGATATCCTGTTCAGTGTTGAGTCTCTGAGCTCTGCATCAGGTTATGCTGCAACGCTCTTCTACACGGTCGGGTATTAATCTCGAAATCTTAAAGGAATCTTTGGGTAATTGATGTTGTGCATTTCTGCGTTGGCTGATTTTGTTTAATTATGTGAATTGGAATGGAAAATATTTGCCTGACAAATAAATGTAAAAGTCTTGTTTAACTCTAATATCTTTGTAAAGCTGCAGTCACACATGACTTTTCTTCCCAAAGACTTCCATTCATACGCACGCAAATGCATCAGACTGAAAATGCAGGGTCATGCGTTAAGTTTAAGAACATGAAAACAGCACAAATGTCAGGGAATACCAACATGTTTCCTCAGACCCCAGACAGAGGGTTAAATGTTAAACAAATCTCCTTTTACTGATCATTTAATTAAAACATGGGAATAAAAGACAACTGAGCTTCAGTCCCTATTTATTACCTTTACTTTTCTCTGTCTTTATATAAAATCATTTCCTTTTTGTGCTTGTTCAATAACTCAGATAATGCTTTTGATAATTATTGTTCTTCAGGCTTATTAATGAAGAATCAGGAATAAACACCAACCTATTTGTTGTTCAGTATCTTCAGGTTTAATTCTGCAGGGTTTTGGATCACTCATGTTCTCGCTGTCCTTCAGTAAACTCTTCACTTGAGCCTGATGGGAATATTCCTGCATTTATAGCTGAACTGCAGAAGGAGAAAGAGCTTCACTGTAGGAGTAGGGACAAATCAGCCAATATTAAAAATACTTAATTTTTTTTCTAACAAACACATTAGTTTTGCTTATATTTATTATTTAATATTTTAATGCCATATTAGCAGCATTGGCTATATTCACGAAAACACTTGCATTAAATATTCAGCATTTAATTTACAATCATAACTGTTTCTTAAACATCAATAATTGTATTAAAAACATACAAACAACAACACTGATAAAAAGTCTTATAAAGTCTTTCAGTCTAATCGATGATAAATATTGTAGAATTTCCCCAGAAAACACATTTTCCTTAAAATATTTCCTGGATTAAAACACTCTCTAATATCATTTTAAAAATACATCCTATTAAAATATGTTTTATCATCAAAATATTCTCACACAAGCTACAAATAGGTGTTTCTCCCCTGTTCAATAAATGTGTGTGTAAGTCTTGAGTGGCCGATTCTACATGTCATGTGTGCAGCGTGATCATGTCTCTAATTGCTTACATTTATCTCTCAATATTTTAATGAATTAAGTGTTTTATATTATTATACTAATCCCAAATTCTGTTTTACTGCAAAATAAAGCGTTTGCGTCTCTTCAAGAGTTTACACAAGCATATGTTCAGTTAAACAGTCAATATTCAATATAATCAGCATTAAACTACCTCTTAGTGAATGAATTAGATGGAGACACAAATGAAAGGTGTCCAGATAACCCGTGAGTAAGACATTACAAGAGTGTTTACAGCGTAGCATCGAGCTAAAAACAAGAGAGTATATTAGCATTGAGCACATATGTTAAAGCGGTTCAAACCGCAAGATAATTCCCGCAAGTCTGCGAACGGTACTATAGTCAGATATCATACACTTACTCTGAACAGACGAACAACACCCGTAACAGAAGAGGAATTAAACACATAAAACGTCAAACAGCAAAGTGCTGCTCTCTCCGATCTCCGCCTCAGAATAATAAGCTTTGCCTGCACGCTGATTAGCGAAAGCTGATTGGCTGCCTGTAGCTGGCTCTGAGAAAGCTGATTGGCTGCCTGTCGGTTCAGAAGAAATGCGGTTGTTCAGTCAGGAGAAATAGGTGGTTTGATTTGGTAGTGCACCTTTTATGAAGTGTTTTGGGTTGACTTTATATTTTCTTAAAAATGTTTAAACTACATTAAGAGCTTTAGAATGTAGAAACTTAATTTAGCTTTGCATTAGCTTAATTTTTAACTTGCTTTCATGTAACAGAGTCAGGGCTACCGTTATATTTCAGTCAGGATGGGGTGACATTTGCTTCTTAACACGCTTATCTTGGTTTTGTGTGATAAACTCAGAAAATATGAACTGATAAAGAAGGTAAGAAACATAAATAAGGTAAGAAACATATACCCATGAGAAGTGTTTATTTGACACTGTGGTAATGTCCACTATCAATCTAAGGTAAACTGGCCTGTGATATCAGGTTTTATTTATATATTGGAATCAGAATCAGAAAGAGCTTTTTTGTCAGGTATGTTCGTACATATGAGGAATTTGTTTCCGTGACAGAGCTTCTACAGTGCAACAGAATTACAGAGACAGGACAAAAAAAAAAACATAATAAATATATAAAAAAGCACACACATATATATATATATATATATATATATATATATATATATATATATATATATATATATATATATATAAATCAGTGCCAAACAGTGTTTTTATTTAAAGGGTTTAAAGGGCTCTTATTTTATAATTCAGCATCAGATGAGTTTAGATGACACTGTGGTAATGTCCACTATCAATCTGAGGTAAAACTGGCCTGTGATATCTAATAGATTTATATATACATATAATCATGGTGTTTTGTGTAAGGTTTAAAGGGCTCTTATTTTGTAATTATACATCAGATGGCCATAAAAAAAAAATTTAGTTTACACTGTGCGAATGTCTACAATCTAAGATGTAGCTGCTTGTGAAATCAATTTATTTCATTGTTATACCTTTTTGAATACTGTGACAGCAGTATCATTTAAAAGATTTTAATGGCTTTTACTTTGTAATTACGGATAAAGCAGTTTCGAAATTCTGGATATTTATTTGCATTCATTTGTTGTCTTTTCTGTATTATTTGATATTTTATCATCAGTCAGTGAGACGCTGAACTATCATGACAAACATGTGTTAGCAGAGACAGTATTTGTGTTTAGTTTTTAGCGCTCTACTGTAATACACAGTGTATGAGCGACTGCAGAAATACCTTGGCGGCTAGAATGACTGTTCTTTTTGACTTGGCGTCTGGCCTGACCGCAGTCAAATGTGCAGCGTTTGTTTCCTTTCACGAACAATGAGGATTTATTTATGCTCCACTGTAATTGCTGCATCAAAAAAAAACTCTGTGATTTATATTGGCTAAATTTTTATAAACTTATTTATACAAAATATATGCTATAAGCCTAGCCTATAGCCTACTTTAAATAAGTCAACATATATACGGTTTATCTCTCATCACCGTAACATGCACGTTTAATGCTTCTATTATAAAAAGACCTACATTTGACCAGCAATTTACAGGGTTCAACGCTAAGGACTTTTTCTACTGGGCCGATTGGTCCAGTGGTTGAGGTTTTTACTTGCCCTGCCAAAATTTTCACTGGCCCCACAAAAAAAAAAAAAGGTTAATAGCTAGTTCTTAGCCACATATTTTGAATAATGTGGCAAAATAATGTATGAATCTAGAATTTAAACATTTAAAAATGTTAATAAATGTATAATGAACAAAATTAATTTGATTTTATGCAAACGAAAGAGCAGTATGAAAAATGTGCTGGTATTTTAGTGCAATTCTAAATTATTTTTATAAAAATGGCTTGCCAAACCGACAACTCTTTTATTTTTTCTCCCAGTTTCTTAATTTAGTACCCATGTAATTGTCTGCTTCCAAGACTTTAGAAACTGACGTTTTCTTTTAGCCTCATAGTTAGATGTTGCCATCTTTTCGGTGTAATTGTTGTTACCATGTTACGAAAAAAATTGCATGCTCACCGTTACTGGCAGATAGGGGCCAGTAACAATTCAGTCTACTGTCCCGAGCGTCTTTCACGCTGGTCCCGGGCCACCGGGCAGTCCTTATTGTTGAGCCCTGAATTTAGCAAAGCCTATGCTGATATTTCTGTGCCAGTTTGACACTGTACACTAAACTGAGGAGTTCAACTTATTCAAAACACTTGCTCACCTGAATATATATATATATATATATATATATATATATATATATATATATATATATATATATATATATATATATATATATATATATATAGTTGATCATCTGAAACTCTTCCCACACTGAGAACATGTAAATGGTTTCTCCAGTGTAGGCATGGGCCGCTATAAGATTCTGATGATATGATAACCTTGGATATAAAATATCACGGTATCGGAATTTTTTGACGGTATTGTGATTATGTCTGGGTAAAAAACTAAAACTTTTCCCTTTTGAACACAAAATATTTTATTTTGAGAAACATTTAAAATATTGTGGAGCAGTAAACATGTCAGGCTGAATAATTCCAATGAATCTTTGACTTCTGCTGTTTTCATTAGTTTCAGAAACACAGATTTATTTACAATTTTAAAAGACAATATAGCTCTTTTCTGCTGGGGATACTGTTGTACTAAACACAAAACAAAAAAAAATTTATAAAAAAAGTGACGTTTACCATAGGAACGGTATAGACGTTTTTCTTAGAACGCAAAATTACCCATTATGCTTTGCGTGTATGCGCAAAGATAATGCTGAGAACTTCCGGTCGGCAGCTGATGCGTGTAAACAGTCACATTTGGACAGCTTTGAAACGATAGTTTTAATCTATTTTACCTGCTTTTATCCTCTTTGAACTAATGCTGTTGTCCATCAGCACCATCTCCTGGACTGATCACTTAAAGAAATACGATCTAATAGGATGGAAAACAGCTGCTGTGAGGCGTTTACCCCTCATTGTCAGACGGCATCTTCTGCAGTTTAAATGAAGCCTCGTCATCGCTAAAGTCAACATTTTCTCTTTATTTCAAATATATAACCAACACAAACACATGTAATTCACCAAAATGTTTGACACACACACGTAGCCTGCATTGTTCCACTGACACACTGATTTAATAATTGTCACAAAGTGAAAATATAGGCTAGTGTCATTTCGAAATGACAGAAAAACACAAACCGTGGTAAAAACAACACACGAAATAAAACACAAACGGCTCGCGATTAGAATGAACAGCAAATCAGCCAGCAGAGTATCAATAACGGACTTTTATTGCTCATTTTTGTAA